TTCCTGACTGAACCCAGCACACACCATCCTATACTCATTCCAGAGACTGTGAGCTGCCACTCGCCCCTACGGAGCTGGTCAGGAAACACCTTCAAGAAAGCAGTTAGTTTCATTCACTCTTCTTCAGTCTTCCTGCTTCACAGGTTAAATCCTACTGTGCCACTTGGTTAAATCCTACAAGAGAAAGCCCAATCACTTGGCTGCCAGAAATAACAACTTAGCTTTGCTGATCTCTTCAGCATTTATGATGATAGGGTAGCGATAAATCTGAAAACTGCACACAAGGGAGAAAGCAGACGGTGGAAGTGAGGAGTTCCCTGGTGAACTCCAGCCTCAGAGACACGGTGGCATTCCTCCCTAAGCACCTGGACGTGAAATGCCGAACGGTGAAGTCTTGAGACCCCCACTGCTGCGCAAGCCCCGCCGACACCGTGAACACCGTGCAGTCGTCCTGCAGGGCAGATGTGGCCAGACAAATACAAACACCCGCCAAAACGGTTACGCTATCTGTTCCGGCCTCATTCAGCCTCAGTAAGAAAATAAGAACATTACTGTAGAAAAACAAGTATTCCTTTTTAGTGTTTTTTAAACTTGCCTTTGGGTCGTTTGCATCGAAAAGCCCTGTGGAAAGTCCAATCAGCAGTGAACTTTTGTCTTTATTTTTTGCTGGTGACCTGGAACGTGAAGGAGGTGCACAAGGCTCCTCCTGCGAAGACTGAGCTGACAGGACCGGCGAGGCTGCTGGCACAGCGGTGGGTCGCGTCACCCTCTGGAAGAAGGGTTCAGCTTGCGGACAGCCACTGGAACAAGTTTCTGGTGTGGTAAAAGAAAGTCCCTTACAAATCTAAATAGATTAAAAACCCCAAGTCCTTCAGCAAAAGCTAACTGATGTCAACAGAACTAACTCATTTCTGGTCTACAATAAAAGGGGAAGATAGACCGCACGGTAAAAAGTATTAAAACATCTTTGGATTATTTTAGCAAATGCATTAGAATTTGAAATTCTCCCATTTTAACTGTTGAGAATATAGAGCCCACAGCTATTGCCTGTTTTGTTCTCATGACTTCTAGTGTCTCGTTATCCAGCCCATGCCCAGAATTACGGCATCATACATTTTCACCTGTCGCTTCCTGCCTTATACTACGTTTCTTCAAAGCCACCTCAACATCATTTGCGCAGACACTGGGAAAAAAACCTCACTTTGCTTTGGCCACCCATAAGAAGATGGGGTAGTCTCACCAACGATACCTGACAGTATTTTCTATTCTACTGTAAAATATGCAGATGATCTGAAGCTACTTCAAAGATCTCCAAGCACAAGCAATTCTTCTGTGCCACAAAGATAATCATTTATCATCGTGAGCAGCTGCTTAAAACATTTTTATCCAAGCTGCAGCTCAATATTAGAGATGTCTGTAAGCAAAGCCAATGCTTTTATTAACATCATCAGATTCCATAACATTTTAAATAGTCATTTTAGAAGGTCATAACGTTCAGAAGCTTGGCATTCACTGTGAAGTTATCATGTGGGCCACTGCCCTGTTCACAGGGCAACAAAGCTGTACACAGCCTAGACATGTAGTGTTACATGCTTGCTTCCAAAGTGGCAAAACTAGCACCCACAGTCTGTCTTCCTAATCCATCAGAAATTTGCTCTTTACAAGTATGAACTAAAAAAAGAAAATTTAACCAGAAAACCTGCTCTTTTGGAGCTGGTGGAGAAGCGAAAAGGGACAGATGGCTCCAGTACTCCGTACTGCCAGCTACAGCAAGCAAAACAAGAGACTTCAACTGACCTTCCACAGCTTCCTTGTGTGGCTGCACCTTGTCAGGCACTTCTTCCTCATTTCTTCTGTCATCTTGTGCCCTATTACAAAGTACCCCATCCAGGGGAAACACCATGTAAAACCAGTCATTAGTCTGCTGGAAAAGTCATCAAGGGCAGTAGAAGTAGCACGGCACACCGGCAGTGACGCTTGAGCTAAGCTGTTAACTGATGTAGCTCAATCCTACGCAGTTAAAGCTAATTGTCTGAACTGCAGAACGGAGAAGAAGAGGAGAGTACTTACTTATTTTCCTCTTCTACCCACACTTCGTTAACGGTGACAGGAAATTCCTTACTCTGGTGCGTTTCACCTTTTGTTTCTTCCAACATCTCTGCTTCCAAATCATCAGGCTCTAAAAGTAACAGTCATGTACCTCATCTGAAATTAATTCCAACCAAAAGACGACTATACATTTTAAGGTTACCCTTAAATCCATAAGCTTTAATAATTTTCTGCATTTTGAAGAAACAACTTAGATTTTTTAACCCTAGAGCTAAAAGGTTGTTTCTGATATAACAGAATTTTCCTAAAGCTCCAACAAACTGTCTCCTAAAAAGCTCGGTTGCATTCCCCTCAAAGTCAGCTGGCTGCTGGAATCACACAGAGGAAATACTCTAGCACAGTGAAGGGGGATAAAACCCAAAAAACCCAACTAAAAAAAAATTTGAAGGACTTTAGGATTTCGGTTCTGTTCTAGAGAGTTTTCTGTCAGCAGACAAAAAGGGTTTCTGGAAGTTTACGAAATGCTTTAGTGAAGCAAGTCACAACCCAGGCCCAGAAAGCACTTGGGCCTACCTAAAAGGTGTTAACGAAGAACTGCACGCTACTCATGGGAAGATATCAGAAGTGTTGAGAACCTTAGTTCCCTCATTCAACGGGAAAACAGACTTTCATTAGAATTACAAATGAAACGACCTACCATCCAGCGTAACGGGTTCGCTCTGCCCCCGGGTAGGTCCGGCGCTTCGAGACTCTTCTGGTACGGTCCTGTCAGACTCTGCGAGCCCAGCCGGTACTGAAGGCTGAGCCCCGAGAGCGGGAAGGACTTTCTCTTCCTCCTCCTCTCCTACAACCAGGGACTGATGATCTCCTTCAAGAAGTTCTGCAGTGCCTACCAGGAAATTATTCTGCTATATAAAAACTGCTTTGACACAATGGTAATAAACTACAAGGTGACTACAAGGTGAGAACTTCTGTTTAAAGGAAAACTGAACAGAAAAAATCCTGCATGCCTTTATTGCAACTATTATGAAGAGGAAAGCTAGAAATATTAAGATTTTAATTTTACTTGCTCCATTATCATTAGTACAAGTTTATACTTGGAATTGACATAATTCCTCTTGTTCTTGGGGAGGCTGAAAAGCAGAGGCTGACCAGAAAAAAAAAAAAACAAACCAACCACGGCTATGGAAGCCACACACTAACAAGAGGGTTATAGGACCTACCTAACACAATATTCAGCTGATGGCATCCTTTTCCAGACACACTCGTTTCTACTGATAAGCAAAGTCCAAGACTTTTCAATAAAATGAAGACCCTTCCCTTTCAGCACACCGTTTTTAAGGTCTCACCACTTCACTGCAGGTGAAATATTTTGCTGTCTTCCAGTATCAGCTTGTGCTGACATTCAGAACAGAGGCAACACCCAGAAACGTAAAGCAAGAGTGAGGGTAGAATATGCTTTTATGGCTTCAGAATGGCTCTCAGCAGACAAAGTGGCAATCTGGCACTTCCTACACTTGCAGGGCAGATAATCACCAGCTGCTCTTACCGTTCATTACATCAAGTTCCTCAAGTAAGTCAGTTTGCAGCTGCAACTCTGCTTCTCCTAGGATCTTCAGGACTGAATCAGTAGGGCTTTTGCCCCAGACCTTCCTGTGGGGTTCACCAATATCTAACCTAATCACTTCCCCCAGCGTTTCACCTGTCGGGCCAAAAACACGAAAAGATGGAAACTTTTAATATAGAAAGCAAATACAAGTTTCTAATTTTTACAACCAACCAACCTCCACAAAACTAAACTGCAAAGCCAGAACTTGCGTCACCTCACCCCAAGTCAGGCAGCCTGAAGACTGTGCTCAAAAGTCTACTTTGCCTTCTGCCAATCCCACTTAACAACAGGAGCTATTCCAGGCCAGTTAACAACTTAAAGATCTTTTCAGCAATCCTGGCTCTCCAAAAGAAAACAGTATGAGAAGTGTTTAAAACTGGCATCGGATGGTCTTCCACGTACTTAACTGCTTTTTAGTCTTTGGTAAATGAGTGCCAGTTTAACAGACCCCTACAAAGAAGGCTCAAAGAAAACCACCATCCATTTCCTTAGGTAACTATTTGTTGAAATTTGGAAACTATTTCTGAATCTCCTGCAAGCCATTTAATTCCAAAGCGTCTTATTCCTCATCCAAGGGAACACATAACCACCTGGTTTTTAGCGGCAGCCGACATGCAACTCATAGCAAGTTGATAGTAGGTTGTACTTGCTGCATAAAAACCAGGCACGACACAGGGTAGATTGATTTACTAACATCGCCGTGACAAAAAAAGTACTTACGGTCTGTTCCAGAAAGAGAGTCTTCCATTGATAACTGAGCTAGAGGAACTACCAGCTCAGATGCCCCAGATTCCCATTTTCTGCGATCTCCTAGGAGTGGATGGTCACCTTCTTGCTGTTCCTCGCCATCTTCGGAGCTGGCCGATTCGGAGATGTTTTTACACTCCTTTTTTCCTTTCTCATGTTCTTGAGCTTTAAGATTTTGATTTAATCTTCTCAGAATTTCTCGTTTATTCTGAAATAAGGGCCAAGATATATCACTTAAATTAGTGCCTTTTTTTAATGGAAAATTAAATGAAACTGAAAACAATTTGACATACCTGTGTTGCAAAATCTGGCTTTTTTATTTTCTCCCCAGCTTCCTGGCTAGCAGTTACATTTTCATCCTTCTAGTCCACGAGGCATGAAAAACAGTGTAGAAAAGCACATTAGAAAAAAAACACTCTGGAGAACATTAATAGACATAATAGTGATAAATCACCTCCAAAACCTTTACATTGACAACTCCAGACTGACTGAAAGAGAATGTATGATACTTCTGCTTTTATGGGGCTTCCCAAAGACATAATTTGAAGGGCTGCTTCCATCTTTGACCTGTTCACTCTCTGGAAGTGGTGAGCAAATGGATCAGACTCAGTTTAAGCAGACAAGTGAAAAGTTCAGAGCACGAAACACATAGAAATAAATATGACCTCTATAGCAAAATGCCATAAAGTCCCAATGCCAGAAATGAGCAATTCTATATAAGAAAAAAAACCAAACCCAACTTAAAACGGGAGAGGACAGAGTTAAGGAGCACCTGTAAAGAAAAGCAGAAGGCAGGAGAGACAACTTGGTTGTTATGTAAAACAATCAAACTAAAAATGGAAGGCAAAAATGTAGGACTTCGGCCTTGTACACAAAGATGATGATCTCCAACTGCTTTGTGTGGTAGTTTTTAGTCAGTTATAGTCACTGACTGGAACTATACTACACACTGTAGTTACTATGTAGTGTAGCATAGTTATATTACTGTAAGTCAAGCCATCCACATATAAAAAATTTGCTAATGCCTTAAGTATTTGTCAAAACATGATTTGTTTATGTATAGTTTCACTATATTCCCACACTGGCAGCTTTCACGGTTGCTTACAGTATATAATCCCACACTACACGGAAATCTAGAGATAGCTTAGGTAAACCCACAAAAGCTGGCGTTCAAATGAACACAGATTGTGTGAAAAGTTGCAGCGGTACCGTGGCTCACTTTCACGCTGTTTTACAACTGCTACGTAAATTGGATGGTGGCAGCCAAGGAAAAAGTGTAAGCATTGGCAGTATCCCAGGAAACAGGCATTAGGAAGCCTCTAATACTCTTTTAGAGAACAAGCAGAGACAACACGATCAGATTCAACTCTCAAACTTTCTATTCTTTCACATATTTTCAAACTGACTGCAAATGAGAATTAATATAAAAAGAATCCTACGCCTCAAAGTTTGTTTTCTCACTTCCACCAGGTTACAAACTCCTTAACTCTCCTCTCCAAGAAGCTGATGAAGATGCTGCTTAGTGGATGCTGCCTTCTCCCACTAATCGTGACTACCTTGATCAAGACTGAAACTGCAGCCTAGGGTTCATCTTAAGCCATGCTGTTCAAAACTGACCAAAGTCAAGTTTCAGCATACAGGTCTGTTTCAAAACCTTCCAAGTTTTGGTTTCTTTTTACATTTCATTTTTCTTTTTTTCCCCTTTCCCTTATTAGAAGCAACAAGTATCCTTAATGACTTTTTCTGCCTTAATTTACACATTCTTCAAAACATTATTGATTTTTTTTTTTTTTAAGTTAATTTTACCCTCTTAGCAGAAGTACCTACCACCCCCACTTCCTTCAGAGCAGAAGTGATGGAGATGACCGGTGTGCCAGGCTTCACTGTAAGCTGTGGCTTCAGAAGAGCCGGTCCAAGCTCTTGGAGCTCATGCGTGGGACTGCGCTCCGTAGCTCCCATGTGAAAAGGCACATTAGGATTCTTTACCCCTTTCGCTATCAGCTGTGTAGATTCAATTAAAAAAAAAAGAGTCAGTCAACAAATTAACTTCCAGACTTTGCACGTTAAACACAGCATTATCAAATGGGCTCATGTAAAGCTCAGAAAAAGAAAATAACAGCACACGTTTTCACACCAAAGACAACCTGCCAACTGCACGTGGGGACTACTTCCAGTTTATCAGCTTCACAACACACTGTTTTTTGTAGCAGTGTGTTACGAGTTGAACTTGTATCCAAAGGACGCAACCCACAGCATACGGAAGCAAAAGAAGGTTAAATAAACTTTGGCCCGTTACACAGCATTAATAAAACGCTTAGGGTGATCCTAATGAGCCTTAGGTTTAATGCTCTTAAATTCTTGAGCCAGGCTCTTCATTCCAGTAGACCTGCAATAAGGTGAAGGAATTCTGATTGAGAGATGCTCCCCTCAGTTTCAGAAGGTAAATTAATTACCTAAGCTCGAGAAAACCACCGTAGAAGATTTTAGTTAGGCAAAGATAGGGCACTACATATTTTGCCAGATTATTATTATTTTTGCTCATAAGACTTATTTTCTTACATGTTCTTCCCAGGCTCTTTTCTCTCTTTCATACGCTTCCTTCCTCTTTCGCTCTAACTGTTCTTTCAGAACTGCAGCTCGAGCATTTGCCTGGGCCTACAGTGAACAAACAAGCAAAAAAAGACCAACTTAAAATCATAAAAAGCACCAAGTACCCCATTCCATGGAATGTTTTAAAAGGAAACATGCTTGGATTACTCCATCTTCCTTTCTCTCACTTATTCGTGTAGAGACTGCAAAAGAAGGACTGCCCTGATGACCAAAATCTCCAAGCAAGTATCAGAACTGATCTTTTAAGTTGAAAATAATGGCAACTCCTCAAAATTTAACAGTTCTTGATTTCCATGCTTATCTTTTTAGTATGCACACCAATCTCAGGGTAACCTGAAATCATGATCTCCAATTAAAATTAATTTTGAAGCTAAAAATATTAAAACCAAAATACTAAATATTCAGTTCAAACCTTCTCCACATAAACACAAAACGCTCAAGTTCCTGTTTCACCTCTAGTTCTGAGGTTAGGCCTATGGTTAGCCTGTTTTTACCTTGCTCTTTGCAGACGGTGGGGAAAAAACCCGACAGATCACAGAACAGAGTAATACTTGCTATGTCTTGTCTGGTAGAGAGAGTTATTGAGATAAGAACACCAGTCAAACAGTGGGTTTTTGCAAATCACGCTGGCTTTAAATTTGCTTCTTCACAGGGGTTTATAGCTCACCTTCCAATCCACAGGTCAGCACAGAGAAGTTTTGCCTTCCTTCGTTTTTTTAACTACAATAAAGTTGTTATTTAAGGTACATCTTCCTTTCCATTTCATCATTAAAATGCCATTTCAGTTACACCAAACTGCCTTTAAGACTAACGTTAACCTAGAGCAAAGTCTCAGAGGCAGGAATGGGAACAACCCTTGACTTGCCTAAAATATCCTGTGTCACAACCTATTTTGAAATTACTGAGATAGAACAGTTGAACAGAGTTGTTACCTCAATACAGATAAAATAAAAACCTCTTGCAGGGGATGTCTGTACGACCGAACTATTTGTGAAGGAATTCCTCATAGTCTCTGGTGTGGGTTTAGATCTGGGGTTTGGGGTTTTGAAAGAAGTGGGGAAATACTGCTCAGCAGGCCTAGAATGTTTGTTCTCAACCTGCTCCTCCTACAGACCCACCCAAGGCTGGTTAAAACCCAGTCAAGCTAATCATGTAGAGACAGTTTTGACAAAGAGTGATTAATTAATTGATCTGCTAGAAAAAGTAAGTGAATGGGCAGAAACTGCTGGCTTTAGTTAAAGCCTTAACAGTACATCTTGGAGTCTGTCTCAGAATTGTGCAAGACAGAAATGGCAGAAGAGTGATTACGGGGACGGCAACCCGAAGAAACCCCTGAAACTGAAACAAGAATTGGAACCAGGAGAGAAGAACGCAGCTGAGAGAGGGGATTGTGATGGTCTTTGATCAACAATGAACTCCGGGGACCAAAAGGCTGAGTGGAAATACACAGACTTCGGAACTTATGTAACGGGTATTGACTGAACGGTGCGCGAGGTGAGCTTGGGCCTTCTGCCACGCACTGAGGTGGTGGCCCAACTCTGAGTTGTTAATAAAGCAAACCTAGTGGTACCCATGGCTGGCACGTCATTTCCTTGAGGACTATTGACAGTAAAACTCGATGTAAGAAACTCCGAGATAGGAAACAAATTTGAAACCGGTAACGCCCATCTCCTCCCTCCCCACGGTTACCTTCTGCGCTCCTAGCTTTTTGCGCTTCAGTTCTGCTTCCTCGCTCGACTCTTGTCCATCAGAACTGGCCGCTTCATTCTGCAAAGTAAGAGGCCTCAAAGAATTATCACTAATTCATGTATTTAAAGGCTGAGTGACGTAAGTGACTACTCTTAGCACTCTGTATGACTAACCCTGGCCATCATTTCACCATCTAACTCCTCACTCAGGTGTAACGTCTGCTTGGGCAGACTTCCGTCTGAGATTCGTGGGGGGTTTTTTGCTTACTCGTTTGGTTTTGTGTGGCCGTATTTGCTTTGCAAACATATGAAGCTTTTACAAGCCGGGAAGAAAGCGATGTGTCTGCTGTTGCGAGGGAAGTGACCTGACAAGGCTGGGTTCTCACCTGCCACCCTCCAGCACTGGGGCATGCTCTGCAGGTAAGGTATTCCAGACAGGTTTGACACTCTGGAATTCCAGTTTTCTTCCACCGTATGTGCTCCAAGGAAGGTGGAATGGGTGAGAGTGGGAAATGGAAACAACTAAGAAGATAAGGTCTACTTCTGAAATCCCTGTTTTCAATCTGTCTTACTTCTTTCCACGGCCTCTGCATATTCCTGCTTCCAGAACAGACTGATAAGGGTTAAGCAAAAAAAGGGTTCTGACAGGAATCTGTCGTTGTTCATTACCAACTTGTGCAGACCTTTTATTTTAAATAAACTATTTTAAATAGCCTACCAAATAGTAAGCTTCTTGCAGTATAAGAAAGAGTTATTAGAAATAATCTGGAAAAAACACAAACAAGAACTTTAGGTACATTTTTTAAGTGAAAATTAAAAAAAGGAGGTCATGCCTGCCTTGGCTTCAGTCAATTAACAGGAAAAGAGATGACTGGGAAGAACACTGGAGATTGAGAGTGCTAAATTATTTTTCTGAGGTTTTTCTCAGGCCAAGGAATGAATACATATATTCATTTATTGTATGTAAAATAGGATATTATGCAGTAGTGATAGATTTTAAATTGCTAAACATCAGGAAATAAACGTATCTGTGACGTGATTTGGTCTGAGATGGCACGCTTCTAGAAGTGAACCTCCATGCTAAAGTTGGCTTCCAGAGGTCATCAAGAAAAAAAAAAGAAAAAGCCTCTTAAAATGGTCTCTTTATTCTGAAGATGACTTTAGGCCCACTTCCTGGAAGATACCGATTTATTCTGTGTTCCTCTGCAGGTGGCATACCAGGACATACAGCACTGCTCCAGGTAAGGTGGGAAAGGAAGTTAGGTCCCTAATATGCCTAATAACACGTACAGAGAATTAAGGTCATGGCCAGAGTAACTTTTGTTTGGCTTTACTGGCACCAGTAGCCTTGACCTCCAAGGCTCCTGGAGAGTACCTGTACTTCTGCAATTAACCGCACTGCAGGTAAAACGTGGGTGCCTCTAATTTTGCGAGAAACTGTTGCAGCAGCTCAGTGAAAACTGGAAGAAACAGTGCAGTACAGCAACGGCTCGATCCTGGTAACTTCTTAGCACGGCCCTCAGTGTTGTAAGGGTGCTCAGGAGACCCACTAAGGTGTCCTGGGGCTGTGTACGGAGGTGACTAGTCCCACTGCAGCCGGTTGGAGCTTGTTCAGAACAGCAGAGGAGACACATATAAGTGCAATTAACACCCGATGCAATGAAGACCGCACGTGCTTATGGTGCATCAGCTTAACGTTTTACCTGAATCCCTGCTAGGGATTCACTGACCAGGATCTATAGTTGGTCCCGTGCCAGAGCGAGCCACTAGCACATCTTACAAAGTCTGCAGAGTCTCCTCAGGTAGAAATGTATGTGAATTCTGCTCTGGAGCACTCATTTTAGATTTAAAGGGGCATGGGTTTCTCTTCAATGCACTAAAGAATTTTTGCACCTCAGTCAAGGGATTGAATTTGGCTCTCGTGCATCTAATCAGCGAGATGCTATCAAAGTTAAAATTAAGAAAACGCTTCAAAAGAAGTCATTAATACAGGAAAAAAATCCAGAGTATTTTAGCATTTAAAAAAAACCCCAAACAGCCAAAACCTACAGTAATGTAGAACTCTTTAGCCGGGATGGTGGTCCAAAGAATCGGAGTGGTACAGGGCACGGTCTAGCCTTACATGTCCAAGCACTACAGGCAAGATGCACGAAAGGACTTCACGGATAGGACAGGGCAGGAACATTTCTTGTGTTTTAAATCACAAAGTACAATGTGAATATATAAGCAGGTAGTGACTTGAGGAAACCCAAACCTTCTATTAAGACAAATGGGCAGGAGGATGAAGAACAGACAGACAGGAGTCCAAGATCCCACGGTACGTTAACGAAAAGACGGAAACAAACTCCAGACCATATTTACAACACAGACTGCCTCTCAAATTAAACCCTTCTTTAAAGTAAGTGGACTGCTTATAGCACCTTCCAGTACCTGAAGGGGCTACAAGGAAGCTGGGGGGGACTTTTTACAAGGGCCTGTAGGGACAGGACAAGGGGTAACGGGTTTAAATGGAAAGTGGGGAGGTTTAGATTGGATATCAGGAAGAAGTTCTTCCTGGAGAGGGTGGGGAGGCACTGGGACAGGTTGCCCTGAGAAGCTGTGGGTGCCCCATCCCTGGAAGTGTCCAAGGCCAGGCTGGATGAGGCTTGGAGCAACCTGGTCTAGTGGAAGGTGTCCCTGCCCATGGCAGGGGGGTTGGAACTGGGTGGGCTTTAAGGTCTAACCCAAACTATTCTGTGATTCTGTGATTCCACAGGTGCCTTGGATTATTCAACTGACACCTTAAGAAGTGTTCATTCTGAATATACCTTATAAACATACCGCTTTGTTTTGCTGGATTATAAACATATTTTGGAAAAGTGATGCTTGAAAAAAGGGTATTGATTCAGTTAAGATCTTCTAACTTTAATACACACGTACAGAATGTAGGAAAAGAATTGCTTTGTATGTATTCTGCATGAGTAACATCAAAGAGTGAACTCTGGAGAAGTTCCTGTGACTAAAAGCAAATAAATATAAAGGTGCTAGTGCTTGGTGAGATATTTACGTGTCAAATTCAGATATAGCTTTAGGTTGTCGTGTTTTTAAGACATTTACAGGCACTGAAGCTGCACCCCCTGTGCTGAAACAACAAACAGCTCTTGCATATTCTGGAAGAAGAGATGGATGTTCAACTAACCATGGAACATCAAAAATACCTGTCTATATATAAAACTGCCCATGAGAAAAGTCTTTCCACAGGGACAAAAAACCCCATTCAGCCCACAGGCAACTTCCATAAGTATTTCAGATTATTTTTCAAACCAACCTTCTCTCCACGAAGTTTTGCTTTGATCTGCTGACGTTCATTAAAGTTTTGTAGCCGGATCTGTCTTAATCTTGCCAGATATTCCTAAGGCAAAGAAAGGAAGGAAGTGTCAGTGATACTGAAATTGTCTCCAGTATGGTTAACTTAAAATACATAAGACTGCACAAAAAACAAACAAAAAGGACAAAAAACCAAACCCCACACTATTACTATCAACATATTAGCAGCTATTAATCTGCAGAAAAACTCTCGTCTAATGAAAATAAGCAAACTGGAATGCATGTTTCCCAGTATTAAGCTATCATTACCTTATATAGAACTGCAGGCTAGAAATGGTTACATCTACCACAACAGGATGTCAAATCCGTATGCACATTCAAGAACCTCTCTGAGACAGACTGCTGCAGACAACTATTATTTTGACTATTTAAAAGACCCCAAAGACATCCAAACTCTAGAACTTTATACAATAAATCATTTCCTAGTAGTTTATCAAGTCCTTCTATTCTGTTACAGAGACGAACCATGCAGGCAAACCAGGCACAGCGAAGGTCAGAACAGCGCTATTCGTGTGATGAACAAAGTGGCAAACATGCTGCAAGCGTACCTCTTCCTCCTTGTTTCTGGATTTCCTTCCTCTCGCAGAAATGGGCCTGCCTCCATAGATATCTGCCACGTTTTGCAGTGTACCCTGTTTGCCATTTAATGGTATCAAGTTTCAGGTGGCTGGGGCAATCAAATTATCTGCTTTATCCAATAACTGTTCACATGTTAGAAACCAAATCCACCAACGATCGGCAGTTGTTCCGAAGTTAACCGATAACCCTTTTTCACTTATACAACACATATGACAGTAACAACTCAAAATCCTGAGTAGTCAAAGAGAGACTATTGATTTAACAATATATTGTCTTCACCCTGCAATTCTGACCGTCTCCTACTACAGTAGAAAGCTAAAATTCCAATGGGCACAAGTTTTTCTGCATCTGAATGATATACAAATTGTGGCAGAGTTAGCATTTCTGCCATTGTTGAGCCAAGCCCAAAATAAAAGTGGGTATGCTCTTAGATCATGCTTTTATCCACAATGAGGACTTATTAAAAAAAAATGTACTACGTGTAGCAAACTCAAAAACCTACTAGCATACCGAAATATAGGTGCTACATCTAACAAGCTGTGTTAAATGTCCAATAGGTATGTATTCACGGTGGATAGTCCTGGTTAGTGTGGTGCATTCAGTGTCCTAACTGTCACCAAAAAGGGTTCAACCTTTAAAGAAGTCCAATACAAGACAGTACAAGAATCATTGAACTGCAGGATTCCTGCTTGGATTAAAATCCAAAATATTGAAATGATTTTGTTCATGATACACCAGAATCCTCTGCTGTACGGGTTAAAATATCTTGATTCCTTAACATATGATAAAAACAGTAGGCATACATGTGGTAGGTCATATGTGGACCTTCTGCCTTATAAAATACCAGGGCTTTAGCTTTCTTGAGCTTGAGTAGTGAGAACCATTAGTAAGTAAATACTCCAGTTAATTTCTTGATAGGGAGGACTGAATCCAAATATTCTGGCTAAATACTGCCAGATTGAGCAAAACAACCCAGCAATTCAAGGAAACGGCACATTTCTGCACTTGGGTGGTTGGGGTATCAGAGAACAAACTGAAGCAGTCGTCCTGGTGGGTAAGAAGTAGCATACATTCACAAGGAATCCCTGAATTCTGGTTTCAGCTCGAGTTAAGTCATACAGAACAGGAAGGATTTTTTCCATATTCACCTTTTCAGAAAACATTTGGGTTTCTTTTGAACTCCTTTATGCATGTTCTCGAGCTTTACAAATCTAACTGGCACTACTGTTCTTCATTCTAGCATTCACGTCAGTTCACTTTTTTCAATCAGACTCATGATACCACTGCTCTTAAACAAGAGACAGCGTTAGGGTTAGGCACTCGAGATCCTATTTCCTTTCTGCAGATTGCTAACTTTGACTCATCTGCCTACATCAGAATTTTCATAGACCAGGACTTGATGTTTTGCAATGCCACACAACTACAGCCAAGTAGTAAAATTAGGTCAGCAGGTCTCTTAAAGAAGAGATGACTGAAAATATCAGCAGCAGCTCAACTACCAAGTCAAAATTCAGACCACCACTTGAAAGTTAAAATTGACAGCAACTATATATTAACTGAAACTGGGTAAATCAGTGTGAGACATTTGAATTACAACAGAGAATAGTCCCATCCCTATATGAGAAATAGGGCCAGCTAGTCAAATTGTATTCCTGCACAAAGAGAAGGAAGCTGCTGAGAACTTCTACAAGGGCAAATGAGAGTCCGTGGATTTGGAACTCTGACCTCGAGTTAACCGTCCTGAACATCTGGGAGTTACTCTTACAGCTCTTCAGTAACCTCCCTGCTTTATTATGGTAGCCAGTTAAGAATAAAACACTGTGGCTCAAGTGAATACATTAGAGAATCCTGAGAAACAATAACCCAAATACTTGGGCATCTTGCACTGATCTCATCCATTATAGTGATGCCAACAAAGTCAAGAACAAACCGGAAGCAGATCTACTGAGAACTTGTCTAAGAAGAGGCAGTCTTAACAAGAATTGTTCATTTTTTCCACAATTATTTACTGGTCTCGGAGGTTTTAAAAACCAGAACCATAGTTTTGAAGTGGAAGACTCATTCCTTAAAACATATACCCTAATCTAAGGATACTTCACCATCAAAGCATTTAAGAATTGCTCAGTCTAAGTGAAATAATCTCTGAAACAAAGACCTGGCTGCAAATCACGATCTGATATTCAGCTGCAACTCAGGAGATGCCTCTATAAGCCTGCAGTCGGTCTCTTCTCACTGCAATGCCAGCACAGTCAGTTCAGTTTTGTGACTTGGTTAAATATGAACAGGGTGGAGAAGCACTCAAAAAGCAAAAGTCTCCACATTATGCAAACACATGGTTCGACCACACAAAGTCCTAGCGCAAACGAGTCATGTCCAAGGGTGTTTTTGTAAAACACGCCACTGAGTCTGATGGGCTTTATCACCTCAATCAGCAAGCTACTGAATAAGGAAGTTTAATTTTAACCAAAACTTTCATTTCCATTCTCTGTTCATAGCTTTAATGTTCTAAAATTCAGACACATGCAAAAGACACATGCAAAAAAAAAAAGGTATTTTCCTGTGTTAATAAACTTACAGTAATAAGTATTGCACAATTCTGTAACATTTTAATAAAATCAACAAAATGCAAAAAACCTACCTCTCATTCTCTTTTTCTTTAAAATACTTAAGGAAGATATTTAGCTAGCATTTCACTGTTATGATGCTACTTCAAAGATTCATAAAGCATGCTGAAAGAATAATTTACATAGGAAGACCACATTCCATACCATGTGTCCCTCAGCTCGAGCTTTGTTTTCCATGGCTTCTCTCTTTCGTTGCCAGAATTCTTCAACTTGCTTTGCTCTCTCTGCAGCTATCCACCCTTTTTGCCTAAGTAATTGCAATACAACATAGCAAGATGAAAGTGTCTGAAACATAACACTCAACCCCCCTCTCCTCCCTGCTTTTATTCTAACTAGGACACACACAAAAAGAAGTCACTTTCCATGAGTGAGGCATCTTCAAATAAGGCCTTTCATCAGCCAGAACACACGTCAGACTTCCACAAAACGGAGGAAAACAGGCTCCAATAAGTTAAAAGAACAATTAAAAACCCAAACATAACACCACGTTGTCCCTCCGTATCTCGGTTAGCAAAACAAAAATGAGCGTCAAAACACAGTCTTGGTGCGATTACTTCGGCAAATGTCTCAGCTTGTTTCATTAGCGTCATCATTTGTGAAAAAGACGAGGGCTTCCCTTGGGACATGAGCAAGAACTCATCACATGAGCCAGTCACAAGGTCAATACTGCAGCGGTCATTCAAGACTGGCCTATGTCTGGAGTATGAGCTTGCACCACTTAGATAATCCGTACAGTGCTAGTATTCTCCAAGTCTTCTGCAACTCCTTTGGGGGGATTTTTTTTTTTTTGTTAGTTTGTTTCTAAAGGGACTGTGAAGGAATTTTCCTACCTTATAATTAGCCAGAACAAGATGGGTTTTTTTCCCATGTTTCACCCTGCTTGGGTAGACGAGAAGGCTGTGTTCAAGTTACTGTAACTGAGCATCTGGCTAGTCTCCTAGTACATATATTCAACTGTTCTGTAGAGGGAACCAGGTTCTGGCAAATTGGATAGAATTGGGCTCAGAAGAAGTTTTCTATTTAAAAAACACTTGGAAACGGTGTAAGATATTCTAACAAATGGTGGAATGATGAGGCAATCCCCTTGCTAAGGTTGCCCTAGCCTCATCTGACTGATGAGAATTAGGGGTCCAGCAACAGGCATGAAGAAATTGGAATAAATTAATAGCAATAACCCATCGGGCTGACGCAGTTAAATAATTCTGCAATGCAGGAGCCATCGTTAATAACTGACAAACGAATTAGCACGCTAGTTAAACATCGTTACATCTTGCTTTTCCTCTCTCCTCACCACTCCCCTCTCTCCCAAGCAACAAGGAAATTAAATAATTTCATATGCTACAATTCCTGAAGAGGAAAATGGAGATAAAACTACTTTGATACAATAAGAAACCAACTGCCCTTACTCTGAGAAGACAACACAAACCAGGTAAGTGTTACTGGTAAAGAAACAAACACTTGAGTATCTTCATATTTGTGTATTTGACTCACTGAAAGACTTTGACTGTAACTGTTCATTACACAGGAACTCAACTGGTGGGTAGTGAAACCTGTCCAAACCCATGTCATATAGCGGAATGAAATTGCTTCTAGATAATAAAGTACAAATACTTACCGCATTTTAAATGCTAAGAAACAACACCTCAATGTAAGGCTAAAGATAATCCAGTTGATAAATAGGAAAAAAAAAATCCCTGCCTATTTTGAAACTTCTGTGCAGCATTTTCATTGAGTGCTTCTAGGTTCATGTATTTGAGAAATACTGAAACAGTTTATCTTCGTGAACTCCGTATTATTCATAATTTACAGCCCTCTACTATTGCTCCTCTCAATTTCAGCACATTTAAAACAGTTTACCCAGGTGTAGCCAAGTAACATTTAATTTAATATTGCCCAATGTGAAAGGCAAACAGTGTTTCTTCATCTAGGCAAGATCTGGGGATTGTGGCACTTTGTGCAAAGCGTTGAGAGTAACGAGAGGAGGATGGAAATACACGTCTACAGCTGCTAGGAAATTTACCTTCCAGTACCGGGTTGTACCAGAAGAAATTTTCGTTAGCTCACAACAGACCCAGCTGCTATAGAGAAAACAACATATACCTTGTGGCTTGTCCCCATAGGAAGCTCAGTAACGCTTCACACACCAATCTTGTAGAAAAAAAAGGCATTTCCTCATTTACAGCTCACAAGTGTGGACACAGTTCTTTGGGCAATATTAACAGATCAAAAGGAGAGCAAAGAAGTTTTGAGGAAGATACTTGAAAGAGTGCAATAATTCTTAAAAATTAAAATCAATGCTTCTTTACAGTCCTTTTATGTACAAAATACTCAGTTTACAGTAATTGGAAAGAATAACAACAAAGAATTTCAGAGGGCCATGAAGATGCTCTGAGGGCTGGAGCCCCTCTGCCCTGGGGACAGGCTGGGAGAGTTGGGGTGTTCAGCCTGGAGAAAGGAAGGCTCCGGGGAGACCTTATAGCACCTTCCAGTGCCTGAAGGGGCTACAAGGAAGCTGGGGGGGACTTTTTACAAGGGCCTGTAGTGACAGGACAAGGGGTAACGGGGTTAAATTGAAAGTGGGGAGGGTTAGATTGGATATCAGGAAGAAGTTCTTCCCGCAGAGGGTGGGGAGGCACTGGGACAGGTTGCCCAGAGAAGCTGTGGATGCCCCATCCCTGGAAGTGTTCAAGGCCAGGCTGGATGAGGCTTGGAGCAACCTGGTCTAGTGGAAGGTGTCCCTGCCCATGGCAGGGAGGTTGGAACTGGATGGGCTTTAAGGGCTCTTTCCACCCTAACCATTCTATGATTCCATGAATAAACATCACCAAATTAGAAGTTGCGCATCATTGTAACACCTGGCATTTGCATCTCGATGAAGAAAGCTCCTAGAAGTTTTCCACCCATCAATAAACAGGAGCTAACAAATGTGGGAGCATTCCAGACACTCTCCAGTGCTAGAGAGTCAAACAGATGTAGAGAAGGAAGCACCTTCTTAGATAACACAAAAAGTGGACTATGAAAAAATCAGAGGAGGTTTATAATGTTATCTACAACTGCATTAAGCCAAGAATTTTTGGCTGAAATCTAGCTTAGATACAGTTGTTAGTAACGCATTTTTCCACCTCTGAGGAAGCCAAGGTTTCCATTGTTTCTAAAGAACCGTGGTCTGCGAGGGACTAACACACAAACAGATGGCACAGTACCAACGGATAACAGCGATCTTGAGAACTGTCTAACTACTAAATGAAACAAGACATGGAACAAGAATCTAACATGTAGGGACAGATTTATGGGTTATCACAGTCCAACCTGTTTGCACTGGCTTGTTTTGACACATCCTTCAATCTTTTCACTTTTTTCCTAACTGCACCAGCATCAGGTAAATGGTGATGACCTGCAGGCCCCTTAGGAACTCCTGGACGTACTCCAGGTGGAATTCCTCTGTAGATAAATACGTACAGTAACTTTCATTACATTCATCTGAAGCAGACCACATGCAAGTTCAAATGGAAGGTCGCCATACCTTTCACCAACTTCTCGGCTTTGGACTTTCGCCCTCAATCTGGCTTCCCTCTCTTCAGCTACCCTAACGTTTTCTTTTTGCTGTTGCATCTGGTCAAAAATAGCATGATAGTGTTCATATTGTCCTCTGGAAGACACAGGAAAAGGACCAACACCACCTCCGCCATAATATGGAGCCTGGAAATCAAAAGGGGTAGGGTTGAAATTTCAAACACTGGTTTTAACAAGTCCTTCCAATTTTCACCTCTTCAGCGGAATAAACACATTAATATGCCCTGAATTGGTCCCAGTTTTATTCCTGGCATGTCACCATTTTAATGAATTACAAGATAGACAAATTAAGAACTTAATTTTCTGCTAGCACTCCATAATAACACAGCATTCTACCTTCCTCTGATAATAGTCTAGTTATACACAGAATGTCTGTCACGCATTTTGGAAGTTATTGGTAACAAATCCATTCCAGTATCATTGGAGATAGATGTTCTATGTGGCAAAAATCAAAGTTTTAGCACAAAAGTTAAGAAGTGATACAGTACTAACTGAAACACTAACAAGTGATTCGTAGCCAAACCCCTATTTTTTCATGAAGCTGGAAACAGTTAAGCACACTTCTAAGGTTGCTGAATAGCATTATGTGCAGATTTATCCGAGAACCCCCATTGTCATCAACATTTAATTTAATTTGGCTTCATCACCTGAATTGAGATGCTTCCCTACTACAGCTCAGATCAGGGGAACATCTACCACAAGCTACTGTTTTATGCGAATTCTCTCTCTCCCTCTCAAGGAACTAGAGTTCCTACAGAACCTTCCCATGCAAATAACAAAACAAGACATTGCAAGCAGCTGTGTAGAGCAGCAGCCAAGGATGGATGGATGCAGAAAATGTCAAAGCAAAGTTAAGGTTGCCAGCACATGCATAAAAATGTTCCCTTTACACCTGGGGGAGGCAGTCAAATAGCCCATGGCAGTAAATCTATGGAATTTGTTTTAACAATAGTGTCAACATTCCTTTCAGAATTTTACATAAATTTAGTATTTTAAATAAATTTAAATAGGTACATGCAAATGTGACAGCTTTAAGACTGCCTACTTGGTTCTTGGACAGATTATATTTGACAACAGAATTTAGCTCACATTCTGAGTTTCAGTCACTCACCACCTATCAATAGCTCCCCATAATCCACATGATCGAATACTAACTCTGAAAGATCTATCCAGGAATTCAAATAAATGCATGGGTAAGCAGTTCATCTGGATAAAATATTTGACTATACAAGACTATAGTTTCTAGGAATGGAAGGCAAAGTCTTGCTTTAGACACTATTCAAGGTTCTACTTGTCATTAGGAGCTCAGCTTTCACAAGGATTACCTAAAGGAATAGTACGATCAATCTCTAGGCAACTGCTTTGAAGCTGGTGCTGATCACAGTCTGCAGAACAGTCACAGCCCTGCTAGAACCAGAAACCCAAAGCCAAATTCCCTGCTTTCCCTCAGAATCAGGTGCCAGCAGCCAACCCCAAACGACAAAAGGAGAAAGTTCTGCAGTGCATGACCCTGCTGTGCCTTCGGAAGAGGCTACATGGCTTGCATTATTGGAAAGCTTGAACAATGCTATTCAACAGTTGCTGGATACAGTTTTCCCGCTGGAGAAAGGAAAAGGATAACTAATTCAGTAATAGTATAATAGTATACGGAAACCTGAAGTGATGACAACTTCGTGGCCTGCAGCCAGATTTGTACTGAACTATCCAACCTGGAGAAGACACCTCAACAAACTTAAAAGCACGTTTCCATGAGATTTTACAGCAGTAACTTAGTAAAAATATACACAGCCGCTGAACCTCGACTGAGAGTACCGACAGCGACACAGCTGTAGCTACAGCAGAACAAGTTACCCGTTTGCGGTGTCTAAGGACCCTGCAATAAAATTCTCAGAGTTCATAAGAAACACAGTTGTTTTCAGGAACGTATCTAGCTCTGATGCAAAGGTGACAACGCTGATACACCGTGTCGTATGGAAGCCTGCCTTGGTGCCTGCCAGTTTTCACCCTGAGAGAGAGAACGGCATAGGAAACCGGGCTGGGTTTAGCTGGGACGCAGGTAATTTTCTTCACAGTAGCTAGTCGGTGGCTGTGGGTTTGGATTGGTGCTGAGGAGAATATTGATGACACCGATGTTTTCACTTGTTGCTGAGGAATATTTATACCAAGTCGAGCACTTGTTCAGTTTCTGACACTGCACCTGCGTTCCCAGCTTCTTCTCTACAAGAAGTGGGTGGTGAGGAACACAGCCCGGACAGCTTACCCCCCCTGACCAAAGGGGCGTTTCATGCCATCAAACGTCATGCTCAGGATATAAGTTGGGGGAGTTGGCCGGGAGGGAAATCGCTGCTCGGGGACTGCCTGAGCATCAATCAGCTGGTAGTGAGCAGCTGTATCATTTTGTTCTCCTTCCCTTTTCCCTAGTTTTATTTAACTATATACCATTAGCATTATTACGATGATATTTTTATTACATATTGTATTATTGTAGTATTTTTATTACATATAGTAATTATTTCATTTCACTTACTTTCAATCGTTAAATTGTTCTTATCTCAATCCACAAGTTGTCTTATTTTTTTCCTCCAATTCTCTCTCCCATCTTAATGGGGGAGAGGGGCGAAGGTGAGTGGCTGTGAGGTACTTGGCTGCTTCCTGGCGCTAAACCACAACAGAACCAAGTGATGTTTTTTGATTTTTTTTTCATTAAATAAATACCTGGTTGTTTTTAAGATCTGCTATGCTTAAGTTTGCTTTGGTATTTAAGCTGTACTTATATGATGTGTGGCACACATCCAAAGATGATATCTATTTTGAAATAATATATTTAACAAGCAGCTACTGAAGTCTGGTCAAGCGCTCGCCTATTCCTCATTCTTGCAGAATGAACAGAAAATAGAACTTCTGTTTGTTTTGACTTTACTGCTCAGTCAGAGCATGTCTACAAAAACCTTGCTAAACATGTTTAGGCCAAGTATTTTTGTAAGACTCACTACCATCGCAACAAACAGCTGTGTTTTAATCCATTTTCTATTGACAGATAGGTTTAATCCACAGCAATACTTAAATCCCTGCTCTGGCTCTGTCTGATGAAAGTACCCAGACCTTCATATTCAAGTCACTTCATGAAACTACTTCCCAGAACAGTTATGTTTCCATTAAACTGTGACACAGACGAACAGGCAAAAAGAAACGTCACAGGAATCAGATTATCTAATTAAATTATGTAAGAAGTAACCAGCTAAAGAGTTTACTGCTTTCAGAAAAAAAAAAAAAATTAGAATTACTCAGAATTTTTTGTCCCCCTCCTGAACAACTTATCAGTATATAAAAACATTTATAACGCTAAATAATGAAGAATGTGTAGAAGCAGGTGTTTAATACTGGGGGAGAGGTCCATTATCATAATATGGGAACCAGGAAAAAGGTTTCAACACAAGAATTGAAGAACAAACTTGAATATGGAAGAAGCTGTTCATGCAGAGATACAGCACAGGAAGCGTAGCAAAAGCCAGAATGGTAAAGTGGTGCGTGAAGACCAAAAGAGAAGAGATTCAGGAATTGCATACGTATTAAAAATGAAAATTGCACATGATCTCCAAAAAGCCAGGGAAGAGAGTCTGCTATAGAGCTGCTCTTAAATTGCCCACAGATTAATAATGGGCAGCCTCAAGGATTGACCTCCAAGAGCAGAGCTTTCTGAAACGAGAAAGCCACGCCAGATAACCAAAGGTGGGGGAACAGACTACACCACATTTCTGCATCTGCTGCCAACCTTAACATCACCACCTCCACCTGAACCAAGCACATTCCTCCATCCTTGTTCCCTGGCTCTGTTTATTCGTTCCATCTGAAGGAGAAAACAACACAGGAAAATATAATTCAGGGAATCACTAAGTAAAAAACTGAACTTTGTTATTAACACATTTAAAACATATTTTACCCTTTCTTTTTCCAATCTTCTCATTTCATCTGCCTTCAGTAAACTGATCTGCAATGTATAAGGATTAAACATCTTTAGTAACTGGGAAATAAGAACTACTCCACCACAGGAGGAGATATTTCCTTAAAATTACTATGGGTGGGAAAAGAAAGGCTCAGGGATTATGTCTACCTGATCTCTCTGGCGTTTTTCAGGAAATTCTAACCTTTTCTTTTTTGAAGGTTCCTGAAAAATAAACATATAATTTGGTTTATTACTGAGCCATTATTCTGCCTCTGTCAAGATAGGCTAGTGCTCCAATTACTAGTCCACAAAGATTAGATTTTTTTTTTTTTTTTAAATAACTTAGATAATCTTTGGGAAAAAAGATCAGGAGGAAAGGTGTGAATGTTTCATTTTGTCATTCTTGCTCTGGGCTTAGCTTTTGCTCAGTCTGAAAATTAATAGATGATTTCAAGTTACCTCAAACATTTTCCTCCTTTCTTCTCCTGGATTAATTTTCTTCATTGGTGTTGGAAAGGCCTAGACAAAAGGTGAAACTTCAAATTAGACAGCACAATGTCAGAATAAGAGAAAAATTCTAATAGGGAAAAAAAAAATCTTAAACCCACAACTTTTGAATGTGCAAAATGGGGTTTAAAATAATTAATCACTCAGGAGGTTTAAAATGGAAAGCACTGCTAGGATCTAGGGGTAAACGCTACCGTACTTGTTCATCCTCTACTAAAAGCTCTGTCTTGCAAGCTGAAGGCAGTATTTTTTAAAGCTGTTTTGTCTCAATTTTTCTTCTCTGCCAATATCATTCTGCATTACAGTCTTTTCCCATTATAAGTCTTTGAGAGTCCCTAGATATTGATTCTCATATTTGGAGAACAGATTTATTAGGTCATCCTTCTGCTCCTTTGCTCGGGTAACTCTAACCAGGCTTCTTGTTACCTATGGAAAAGGAGAATGCAGCCACTACTGAACACCCAGTAAAGCAGCAGCTATACATAATAAACCATGCTGTCTTCTCAAAAATGTGATGGTTACTTGTAAAGCCTTTTTTTCTGATGGCACTAGAACACAGAAAGCTTAATAATATTTTCCTTTGATTACCCAAAATCCTATCACGCGAGTACTTTAAAAGCAGGTATTTCAGAAGACAGGAGCCTTTAGAGACTTAAGTCAATGTAGTTCAACTACAGGGAGTTAATGTAATGTCACTAAACGAAGGAGATGATTGCTACATGCTCCTCTGAAAAGCCAGCTGAGAGCTGCGAGCTTACACTACCCTGGAACAACAGAAAAGAGAAGAGAATTTCTACTATACAGTAGCCATTTTTTCTATCCTACATTTTATCCCCTATCACTAGGTATAATCCACACAAAGAATTTGCAATGTTACCGACTCCTTACATAGCACAAGAGGATATTTCCTCAGCCTCTCCTCTAACACTTCAAGTTCCTGTACAAATTGGAGTGGTGTTGGCTGGTGAAGCTGACCACAAAATGCACCAGACTAGCAGATGGCTGTGCAATCAGGCCTTGGAACCTAAAACCCCTCATGGTTTCATGAGGAAACACAAGAAGTCTGAACACAGGGTTCAGACAAGTTAAGGGAACACAAGATGCCTTTTGCTTGCTCTCAAACCGTGTATCACAAGTCAACAAGGCTTGTGTGATCAAGGAGTTTTTCCTTAACTTCTGATAACTTTTGAACCTCAAGGAGAATTTATAACTTGGGGGTAATTTTCTAACCACCTATCAAATTTGACACAGATAGAGATCTTTGAGATAGAGATCTTAGTGTTATGTTCTGCAAAGTGCCACGGGGAGAAGGAAAGAAAGAAAAAAAACCCCAAGACCCACCAAAAAACCCACAACAGCAACATTACTTATTCAGAAAAAAATTTTAATTAGCTCTTTCCTGAAGTGGGAGCTTCCTGGTTGCCAGTTGTTTGGCATGTGCATATGGCTCAAAACTAGTTGTATCAAACATCTCCTGGTCATGAAGTAATTAAAGGAATAAAGAGAGAGAGAGAAGTTTTATGTAATAAGGAATACAGAGAACATGAGATTATTTTTGAACAAGGAAGAAAGATGCAGAGATTCTTAGCCAGTGTCAATGATCTTGGTACACCTGACAGACTTAAAATCCTTCTAAGAGTAGTCAACACCAACACAGGAACTGAAAACATTCACAGCACATCTAATTCAGCAGTGGAATTAAAAAACAAAACTCAGGTAGGAATCTCCAAAAATCATTAAATGAAAAACAACTAGAAAAAACCCCAAGCCAACCAATAATGAAGCAAGCAAAGCATTTAAACTAGCACAACCTTCTCTGCAGATCCATGTGTCCACATAAAAGACATTTTGAAAAGGAATGTGTAGTATTTCCACAGCATTTAAGTAAGAACATTCATAGCATTTAAATAATACAAACAAAAGTTCAATTCAAGTAACTTGGGGCTTCTTACCTGTCTAGATTTAGCCAATGTTTTTTTCTCATTTGGCTTTTTAGGCACATCACAAGACTTCCTCATCACTAACGGCACTCCGTATTTTGCAGCAGGTTTGGTAATTTTCTGAGCTGGAGCAACTGAAGTCAGTATTTGTTCTTGAGCTGATCTTTTAGCTTAAGAGAAAAAAACCCAATGTTTTACAGCTATTCAGGCTAGCCAGTGTACCATATTTCCCTTTCCCAAGGTCTTGGAACATCAAAGCTGGAGGAAAATGGGTGAACTATTAACATCTCATTCATGTGAGCTGATGTCTAAGTGCAATAAATCCAGTTGTCCAAATCAGCTCATCTAAACTTCACGCTTGATAAGAAATATCAGAACACAATCCTTGAGTTTTTCACTCTCAACACTTCAAACTGGAGATCTGAAGCTAATTTCAGCTGTCATGCCTCATTATCCAGTTGCCATGGACACCAGGGATAACTTTTTCTACTGGAGAGACAGGTCTCCCTCCACTAAAGACACTGGACTGCAACCTGCAACCTGTCAGCAGATGCTAAGTTCTGGAAGAGCTTCAATGGCCTTCAGCGATACTGTTTTTTCCCCTGTAGAGTTCCTGAAAATACGTCAGTGTTATGGGTCTGATTCTGTGCTAGCAGAGCTCTCTTACAACAGAATAACAAGACAGCAGTGAAACGCTCACATGACACTATTGGAAGACACCAAACACCTGCCACAGCTTCAAGTAATTACATGGAAATAAAATAAAGGAGAAGAAAATACAGGGAGAAAAAAAAAAAGTAAAATAATGCAGTAAAATGAAGTAAGGTAAAGCCATCTTGACAAAGTGAACCACGATCTAATTTGCTACCAGTAGTAAAAATTCTACTTCTTTAGGCTGAAGTCAGGGCTTAATCCTCGAATCTCTAAAAAAACCTCTCAAATTCTCCCTACAAGAAATGGTATTTCCCATTACCCATTTGTATCGGGGTGGGGGGTAAGATGACACACGATACAACCAAACCATTAAAAAAATCTAATATTTGCAGTATTCACTGTGTCCTTAAATTGTGACAAGTGCAGCATAGAA